CTGAATACTCTCATGGGTTGCCATGAGTCCTAATTCATATGAAAACAACTGTTTTAACCGAGAAACTTAACACTGGATCTATAAAGGACCAGGCCATCTGTTGGTTTATAAGTATGTAAAGATAACCATGATATTGCTTGTAAAAGCTCACAAAGAGGATCTGGGAGATGTATACCAATGAAATACAAAAAGTATAGAATGTATTGGAGGTGTATATAAGGTGCGTTAGAAACGAAGGTAAATTAGAAGATAATCCCCTAAAAGAACAAAGGATGACAGGATGCCTTTCAGCTGTGGCGCTGGAGAAGAATATTGAATATACCCTGACTCCCAAGAGAACGAACAGGTCCAAAAGAAGATGAAACCAAGTTGCTCCTTGGAGGCAAGGATTCCGAAGCTCCTTCTCACATACTTTGGGCGTGTTGCTAAGGAGGGACCAGTCCATGGAGAAGGACATTGTGTTTGGAAGGGTGGAGGGACAGTGCGGGAAAGGAAGATCCCAGATGAGATGAACTGACACTGTAACTGGAGTAATGGGGGAGTTGGGGGGTGTAGGTGTGTCAGAGACAGTGAGATTGGCTCAGGATAGGACAGATTTCAGAGCTACTGTACATAGTGTTGTTCTGAGTCACGGGTGACTCGATGGCACATAACAACAACAACAAAATAGAAAGGAGAATGTGTAACAGAGAAGACATGAATCTCAAGTCACAAAGTCCATGGTTCCAATCCTACTTTGAGTGTTGTTGTTTTTTACTTTGAGCGTTTTACCATCAGTGCTTACAAGTTAGAGACTGTTTTAAGGTTTCAATTGCAAACTCTGGGTGATACAAAAGTAAATAGCATAGGGAACAACCAAATTTCCACTATTTGGACATTATCACCCGTAGCCTTATTTCATCTAATTTCAAGTAATTAGTTTTCTTCTTATTTTATCTATCCCTACCTGAAAGTGGGCTATTTGTAAATGCTCCTTTAAATTAAGAAAGCCTATGAAGGCAGAGTATGTTCAATTCAAAAGAGCCATTTTCTCCAACAAGTATTCCCTCACCCTGTTTTAGGAGCTTAAGTGCTACAGCATGCCTAATAAGCCAAGCTCACTATAATAAAGACTCTGTTTCTCTAAAAATTGTAATTTAAAAATGCAAGTATCCAAGGCTCTGGTGTTTAGAATACTTGTTGTTGTTTGTTGTTTTGTATCATCAAGTCAGAACTGACCTATAGCTGACCCTCTGGTGGGTTACAATACAAATATTTTTTAATGTAAAATACTTTAAATCCAACTTCATGATATAAGCTTTCATTTTAGAAGAAAATTCTTAATTCTACTTAAGTATCTTCTGTCTTTAGATGGGCGTTAAATCAGTTGTCCTACGTGTCAACTTTTTGCAGCATTCAGGATCCCTGAATTACTGCCTCTTGTGTGGGATGATGACTCACTAGTGGCCAGTGATTGTTATACTATATTGTTGAATAAATGCAGGGATATCACTGCTGATGTCAGATGAACCCTGGCTGGAAACAAAGAATATGAGGACAATGTCTATTTGTGCTTTACTGACTATACAAAGGCATTTGACTGTGTGGATCATGACAAATTACAGTTAACATTGAGAAGAATGGGAATCCTAGAACACTTAATTGTACTCATGTGAAACCTATGCCTAGATCAAGAGACTATTGTATGAACAGAGCAAGGGAATAGTACATGGTTTAAAATGAAGAAAGATGTGTGGCATGGTTATATCCTTTTTCTGTATCTATTCAATCTGCTTGCTAAGCAAATTATTTGAGAAGTTGGATCTATAGAGAAGAATGTGGCATCAGGATCAAAGGAAGACTCATCAACAAGTTACATTATACAGATGATGCAACCCTGCTTGCTAAAAGTGAGGAAGATTTGAAGCACTTGCTGTAGAAGATTAAGGAATACAGGCTTCAATATGGATTGCATCTCAATATCAAGAAAAAGAAAATTCTCACCTTGGACAGAGAGGCAACATGTTGGCAGATGGAGAAAAGACTGAAACTGACTTCACCAATGATCCACAATCCATTTGGTAGCAACAGTCATGAGATCAGGAGACGTACTACACCGAGAAAGTGTGCAGTCAAGGACTTCTCCAAATTACTGAGGGGCAATGATGTCAGTTTGAGGACTAAGGTGAGTGTGATTCAGGCCATGGTTTTTACAATCACTTGCTATGCATCTGAAAGATGGACAATGAATAAGAATGATTGATGACTTTGAGCTGTTGTGTTGGGAAGAGTATTAAATATCCCATGGACTGCCAAAAGAATGCACAAAATATGTCTTAAAGAAAAGGCGGCCAGAGTGTTCCTTGGAGGCAAAGATGATAAAGCTTAGTCTCACATACTTGGGGCATGTGTCTAGGAGAGGCTATTCTTTGGAAAGGGTATCATGCTTGGAATGATAGAGGGAGGGTGAAAGACAGATAGGTTCAGAGATGAGAACATTCCTCTAGATCTGACAGAAAAAGAAAACCTTTCCTTAGAACTGGCGTCCTGAATTCACACTTCCAGCTACCTAAATGGCAAGAGAATAAATCTCTACTTGTTAAAGCCATCTATTTGTATTATTTATATTCCAGTAGCACTTGATAACAAAAGCAATGCTCAAATATCATGGTATACTCTTTAAATTTTAAACCAGAAATATTCACTGAAGTCCTCTTTAAACCAAACAACAGTTTTGGCTTATTTAGTAAAGAATGTATCATTGGATATTTTGCTCTTTTATGACTTATCTACCTAGGATAAAATTACAGCAGCAAATTCACATACTACATAGGACATTTAGTGGGAAATGAGTTTATGTTAATGGAAGAGGAACAGTTCAGGAAAGTTATAAATGATTTTATAGCTTGAAAGTAATCAGTATCAAGGAACTGTACAAATAAATAAGGCAAAACACAACTGTCTGTAAGATTTTTAGAAGCATTTCATTAAACATGTGATAACTTCTATCCACCACATGCTCTGCTGAAGAAGGAGGGGCAATCTCCTCCTGTACCAGTCAGATCTGATTTTATGATGCACGCGCGCGCACGCGCGCACACACACACACTAATAAAATAAAAAAATGTGATAACTTCTTTGTTTTTCTTCTTTCTACACCTTATTAGAGAAGCTGACTATACAGTATATAACAATTTCTATCCTACAAGTATATCTAATTAGTACATTCATTTTCTAAAGACACTTAATAGAATCAAAGTATTATTTGTAAATCCTCAATCCATTGTGTAGACTAAAAGACTCCTTCCACTAATAGGCAGCATTAAACTGCCATCATCACCTGAGGCAGACCAAACATCTAACAGCAGTTCAAACAATATTTATAACCATTAAGTGTTTTAAGTATTTATAACCATTTCAGCTATTAAATGAAACGTCTGATAGTCTGAATCCACCTAATTCCCCATAGGAAAAAGAGGAAGTCTCCTGCTATAAATATTTAAGGTCTTGGAAATCCAACGGAGGGTTACCAGGAATTGGAATTGACTTGATGGCAGGGTTTGGTTTGGGTTAGAAAGAAACATAGAGGATAGCACCGGCACGAAATGTAAAAAGTGAGTCAACTGTTTCATTAAATAATGTTATAAGTATTTCAAAAGAGGACTTAGTCTAATGGATCACCCCTACAATTTATTAGAATGTATTATTATTATACTTAATTGAACTATAATGTTGTCATTCATCTAATTTCATTAGTTTTGAAAGAACTTTCTAGTCAACATCATTTTTGTAGTACCGTGGAAGGCTCTTGGGGTCAGAGAGACCTATATGCTGCTGTGACTGAATTCAGTATTAAGGCCAAATTATAATGGTTTATTCATCAATTCACTTACTTACCTACACTAAGAAGAATAAATAAGTCAATTCCACTGTTGATGAGTCCATTCCAACTCATCATGATTAATAATAATAATAATAACAATAAATAGGTCTGTGAGAGCTCATGCATGCTAACTACTAACTGGGGACATAAGTGAGTGATAGAAAGATATGGGCAAACAATTTCAAAGTCCTGGTTTTGATGTTACTACAATTATGTAATATATTGCAAAAGAGGAAGATGTGTCCTAGATACACCACTTAATTTTTTTGGTGTTTTCTTAAAAGGCATTTGTTGTTGTTGTAATATTTGAAAATTCCTATTTCCCTGCTCTAACCAACAAAGTATGTCATCAACCCTTTCCATGTTTACCAACTGGATAGTCTATAAAAAAAAATCTTTTACAGAAGTTAGTCATGAGGTCATTTTGGTAGATCTAACAGTAGTACTTTTAACATTTTTTGGTCACTTCTTGTGAGTTTATGGTTATTTCAAAATAAAGGGCATTTTAAAAGAACACGGACATATATTTTAAGTTTAAACAATAATGTGGTTCTGAGAACATTTATGCCTTTTTTTACTATCAAAGAGAATCGTGACTTAATGGAAAATAATTTCTATGTCAGAAGTTAGGGTTTTGTGTTTGGCTGCACCATTCAGGAAAAAAATGTTACAAAGGAAAGGAAGTCACTGGAATTCTGAATTTGAGAAGTTGTCACTTGCAAAACTGAGATACTGTGCTATTTCTAGGGTCAAGAATGTTGAAGAACTATAAAATGGAAAAACAAAAGTTTTATGATATTTAAAAAAAATATGAAGCTCTAAACTATGGTAAGATGATACTTGTAAAACTGACCAAATTAGAGAAAAAACTGTGACAAATATAGTTCAATAACAAATGATTCATTACCAAGTGACATCTCTCCTAGCCATATTCATATCAACAGTTAGAAGCAGCACTAATCTCAACCTGCAAAGAAATGTAATGTGAACAGGAGCCTGCTCTTTTTCTTTCCAATTATTTCAACTGTGATGATCTGTGATACAACTCATTTCTCCAGTTTTCTCCTACAGATGGATTTAAGGATGGAGGATGGTGGATATGTTTGCACGCCCAGCACCAACAGAACAGCTCACTCACCAACTTCATCCTGAATCTCCTCGGCCACTGCAGGCACGTTGTAGAGCAGGGAGAGCGACTGGTTCATGCGCTCGTAGATTACACGGAGGTGTGTCATCACCTGCAGAGGAGGAGAGTTGCATGTAAACCCACTCTGGGATGTTGTTGTTGTGTGCTAATAACCTGAGTACGACTCAATAGTGATTCTGGGAACATCAGACCTGAACCCTGTCCTATCCTGCACCATCCTCACCAGCTCAGATACCCGTGAGCCAAATGCTGCGGTCACTGTGTCAATCCACCTCATTGAGGGTCTTCTCCTTCGTCCCTCCTCCCTCCAGTATGATGTGGAATAGCTCTGGGATGTGAAACTTTTTTTTTATAAACCTAGTGGCAAAGGCAGATCTAAACTTCTAAAATACTCATGAAATGATATGGGGAATTGAGCTATACTTTAAGGTTATCTTTACTCTTCCCATTATATGGTATCGTGTACCAGAGGTCATTTGAAAGATAATTTCTATTCAACTCCAAGTCATGATATTGAGGCTTCTTACCTAACTCTAAACACATAAAAGGAGGCCTGTTTACATGTTGAGCTGCTTACCAAAAGGTTGGTGGTCGGAATGTACCAAAAGAATAGTCTGTGACAGTTAAGAATAACAGCCTTGGAATGGAATAGAAGGCCACCCTGAGTCAAAACTGACTTGATAATGATGAATTTTTATTTTGCATACAGAATTTTAATACCCTAAATCTAGTTAAAGGCACATTTTTACAATCTATAAAATGTGAAATTTTTTTAAATGTGAAATTTTAACTTGGGTGTTGCTGTTGTTACGTACCTAGTTGCCTGCGACCAATAGTGACCCTACGTACATTAGCTCTGAAACTTGCCCTATCCTGAGCCAGTCTCATTATCTCTGACAGACCTAATCTCATATCTCCAGTCACTGAATAAATTCATTTCATCCTGGGTCTTCCTCTCCTGCACTGTCCCACTACCCTTCCAAGAATGATATCCTTCTCCAAGGACTAGTCCTTCTTGGTCACAAACCCAAAATATGTCAGACAGAGCTTCAAAATCCTTGCCTCCAGGGAGCAGCCTGGTTTCAGTCTCTCCAAGACAGACCTGTTTGTTCTCCTAGCAGTCCATGGATGTTCAACATTCTTCTCTAGTGCCACAGCTCAAAGGCATTGATCCTTCCTCTATCATCATTACTTATTATTCAGCTGCCAATGCATAGGATTGTGGGCTAGATCAGGTGTACCTTAGACTCCAGACTGAGACTGTTGCTAGTCTATGCTAAATATTTTAAGATATCATTCTATTAAAGAAGTTTCCAATTTTCAGAAGTAAAATCTGGTATCCAGCTTTTGGGAATCTGAACATATAAAGCATATTAATTTGGCTGACATTAAATTATGTGGTCATAACAGAGCTCTGAGTTGTGGTGCTGGAGGAGTCTTAAACATACCATGGACTACCAAGAAAACAAGTAAGTCTGTCTTGGAAAGGGTGAAACCAAGTTTCTCCTTGGAGGCTAGGATTTTGAACCTCCGTCTCACTTACTTTGGGCATGTGGCCAGGAGGGACTGGTCCTTGGAGAAGGACATCATTCTTGGAAGGGTGGAGGGACAGCTCAGGAGAGGAAGACCCCAGATGAAACGGATTGCCACAGTAACTGGGATAATGGGGTAGGTGTGTCGGAGTCAGTCTCAGAACAGGGCAGGCTTCAGAGCTGTTATACAAGAGTTGCTATAAGTCGCAAATGACTCAATGGCACATTAACAACAACAATGGAGCTTATGGTTGGCATTTATGATTTAAAGGAATAATTTTAGAGACCTTGGTTGATAAAATATTTGTTTTCTTCATTTCAGTCATCAGAGTTTTAAAAGGTATTTTAATCAGACCGCTAAAAACTTAAGATTTTTTTCTATTTCTTACTATTTTTGGTAACTCATAGGATAGTAAAGGGGATATTGCTGTAAGATAAGCCTGAAGAATTTAGCAGCACTCTCCATAGATGTACAATACATTTCCCTGCCTGGGAACACCTGAACCCAAAAAAGCCATGGAGGTCAAACAATTACCGCAGTGAATACTTACCTGGGATCGAATCTGGGCGGCTTTCTTTGGATCCACCATGCGCACATGTTCAAAATGCTTTAGGGTGTGCTGTCTGTCTTTCTGCTCAGCGCGCACATACTTCTTCAGCATATTAAACACATGACGAGGCTGGAGGGGGAAAAAAAACAAATGGTTTATTCAGGCTTATGAAAAATACTGTTGCTTTCAATGGCTTTGGCTCACAGTTTAGTGGTTCCGTGAATTCATTCCGTGATGTGAATACACAGCAAGCCTGCTTCTTCAGATTTCCCCGCTAAACATTACTCCCACTCCGTCTTAACAGATAATGACTTTATGGGCCACTTTCATATCTATAACAGCATTTTATCAACATCTTCCTTTTTTTAATTAGTAGCATCCTGTCATAGAAGGACAGTGGATTTTTTTGAGTTATTCAAATTTAAGTGCTCCCTTTCTCCCACTCAAACTTAAATAGGGGGGTGTATATGGGTCATTTCTATAGAAACAGTCATGTGGGCAAGGGGTATCTCATAAATAATGCTGCACAAATAATACCATCTGTAGCAACATATAAGAATACAATAATTAAAATGAGATTTTTAAAAAAATGGGCTATTTAGCCACTACTAATTTGTAAGCTAAGGAACAACTGAGAAATTCAAAGATATTTTTCTAGAGGAAACGGTAATGCTAAACTTGAGCTATTTTACTTTGAAATTTAATTAAGCTCTAAGTCATCAGATACTAATTCTTTCAGCAACAATTAAGTTTCTTAAGTGCTTCTATTTTATTCCCCAATTGGTTCTACCTCATTTTTATCCCAGTTTTACTTAAAAAGATTCACCTGGATGACAAAAGGACAAAGCTTTCCTTGTCCTCAACTATTATACCGCTATATGCATCCTCTTTTGGAAGTGGTAAAATGAATTTCAGAGATACATACTTCTTCCTCTTTGACAGAAAAACGAGTTATGAAAGTTCACACTGAGAAATGAACTGTAGTTCCCTGGACAGAACTGTTATTAACCCCTGAGTCATGGCATCTTAAATACCTCAAGGAAGGTTTGAGTTTTCCTCTAGGCTTGGGGTTACAATGCTTTTGTACAGTTATCTATAAGAAATGAGGTGCCCCTCGACTCCCTCTTAACTAACCCCTTCTCACCAAGACTCTGCTCAGGGGTCACCTTCTTGACATTGCAGGCAGAAATATGTACCCTTTCTCTGTGCTCCCATGAAATGCTGTATGAACCCCCACAATTGCAGTTAATACCATCTGCTGTATTATTTATGTGCTTGATTCCCCAGCTAACTGTGAGATCCAGAAAGGCCAGACTTTTCCTTTACTAGTAACTTAACCACGCAGTATCTGACCCAGAGAGTGCATCCTGCGTATGTGCTCTGGCATGATTGTCAGAGAGGCTATGTTATTACACTTGAGGGGAGAAAACAAATACACAACAATATAAATAAAATATGACTTCACTCATCTGTTGTACACATTTCCTTTAGTCTAGAAGAAAAGTAGTTCTGAAGAAACCCAGGGGAGGCAAACATCACAAGCTTGGTAGTGCATCATTATAATTCTCATTTTCACGGTGAAAACAGGTTGAATCTCTAAGAGACACAGTCTTTTAAATCTTCAAAAGTAGTAACATGTAGAAGTATCAGTAAGCTACATATATCAAATACACATTTAAATGATGTTTATACACACTACTTAAATTGGATTTTTAAAAGGTCAGAACTCAAAGGTCAACTATTATTAAGTGTGAAGGGTATATTGTATGCAGGATTGCATAATCCAAATACAGCATAGCCTTGACACTTGTTCTTTACTGAACAACAAGGCCTAAGAAGTCTCTCTGTTGTTATGAGCCATTAAGTAGTCTAACCCATGATGTGCACAATAGCTCTGAATTCTGCTCTATTCTGAGGCAGTCTCACTGTCCCATACAAACCTACCCACATAACCCCAGTTACTATGTTAATCCATCTCATCCAGGGTCTTCCTCTCCTGTGCTGTCCCTCTACCCTTCCAAGCAGGATGTCCTTCTCCAAGGACTGGACCCTCCTGGCAATATGGATAAAGAATGTGAGATGGAGCTTTAAAATCCTAGCCTCCAAGGAGCAGCTTGGTTTCACCATCTCCAAGACAAATCTATTAGTTTTCTTGGAAGTTGATGGTATGTTCCAAACTTTCCTCCAGTACCACAAATGAAAGAAAATGAACCTCAATTCTTCTGACATCTTTTGTCATTGTTCTTCTCTGTGATGCATAGCCTAGTGGCAAGAAGCTGCATTGCAATCCTGAAAACAGGTAGTTTGAATCTACCAAATGTTCCATGGGAGGATAGGAAATTAATTACCTTTGAAAATGCACCAGAGAGTCAGCTATGGGTTGGTTCTGATTCAACAGTGCACAACAAAAACATGTCTTGGAAAAGGTGCACCTTCATTTCTAGACTGATGTCATTGCTCTTCAAAAAATCAGGAAAAGTTCCCAACAGCAGATTTTTCCAATGCAATTCATCTTTTAATTTCCTGATTGCTGGTACCAAGAGTGTTGATTGTGGAACCAAACAAGTAGAAATTGTTAACAATTTCGATCTCTTCTCTATCTATCATGATGTTGCCAACTGGCCCAGTGGTGAGAATCTCTGTCTTCTTGATGTTGAGATTCAATCTATATTGAATCCATATAGTTTTTGTATTAGCACAATTAAGTGTTCTGGAATTCCCATTTTTCTCAGGGTTAGCCACAATTTGTTGTGATCCACACAGTCAAATGCCTTTGCATAGTCAATGAAACACAGAAGTCCCTCTAGCTCTACCGTAATTCCAATTCCAATGCCAAGATAGGGAGGGTGGTAGCTATTTGCACCTACAGTTGAAATTCCTGCTCCCTCACTCATATAACTAATTGGCTTAACTGATTTTTTTTGGTTGTTTTGTTTCCTATTTTATAGGAAACACATCCACCCACTCACCTTTGCCCCTCCCCTTTAACAAAAACTTTTTCAAAGCTAGAGGACTCATAGTTGACTCCTCCAGAAGGTTTTTAGACGCTGTGAATCTCAGGGGAGAAGACCACACATCTCTTACCTAAGGAGTAGAAGCTTGTGGATTCAAACCACGTGTGTAAGTTGGCAAGGCAACTCTACATTCTATAATCAACAGGCCACCAGAGTTTATATAAACACAGAATAAAAATGACAATTCCTTTCGATGATTATTTTCTTTTACAGCCATGTATATTAATAATGCTTTCACACTGAGAAAATTCAGTCAATATTTACTGGCTGTATTTTAAGGGTTTTTGGTGATGGATCACTGCTAACCAAAAGGTAAGTCGTTTGAAACCATCAGCTGCTCTATGGTAGAAAGGAGGACTGTCTCCTACCATGAATATTTATAGACTTGGAGTCTCAATGGAAGGTCACTATTAGTCAGAATCTACTCCATGACAGTGAGTTTGGTTAATGAAAAAAAAAATTGCCTGGCTGGTAGCTAAAAGGTAAACAGATTGATCCCACCAGTTTCAGGAAAGATTATGGTTTTGGAGACACTAGAGACAATAGTACTTTGTCCTATAGCTATGCTATGTGTTAGAAGCAACACTGGGCTGAGTTTGGATTCAGGTTTATGAGAAGGCAATGTTTTGGGCGCTTCAGCATGCTAATCTTATCAAATCTTAACAACAACATTATGAAGGTGAGGCAAAATGTTGACCAAGGCGGCCCAGGTTACCCAGGCTATTTTCTTATTAACAGCTCATCTATCTCTATGGATTGTGCCCCTAACCAGTGGGCTATTATTGTGTTGAGGAGAGGCTAAAATGATAAAATTCAATACAGTTCTACAAAATGATTTATAGCCATTTACAGAAAAACATAACTGAATAGTTGGAAAAGATAGTATGTACCAGGGGTCCTCACTTGAATTCATGTTGTTGTTAGCTGTCATCCAGTGGAGTAGGGCTCAGAACAACTTTATAAACAACAGATTTAAAGTCTGTCCTATCTTGTGCCATCCTGAATTTTTATTACTTATAAAATCAGATAACAGCATAGCAAATGATTGAAAAGATCAGCCTGAATCAGGAAAAACCTTAGTCCCCAAAGTGATATCATCATTTCATAGAACTGTATTGAATTTTATCACTTCATCATCTGAAATTTGGACAATGGATAAAGATGACAGAAGAAGAAGAAATGATGCCTTTGGGCTGTGGTGCTGGAGAAAAGTTCTGAATATCCATTCCATGGACTGCCAAAAGAACAAAAAAATCTCAAAGAAGATGCAGCAAGTGGACTCCCTGGAGGCAAAGATAACAAAGCTCACCTAATTTAGGCATGCTGTTAAGAGAGGCTAGTCCTGGAGAGATACATCACGCTTGGAAAAGTGGAGGATCAGCAAAAGAGAGAGATCGATGGAGGATAAAAGGTGCAATATGTGTCAAACCTAAGGGACTGACATAGTGACTGCTGCAATGGGCTTGAATATGTCAGAAATTATGAGGATGGCACAGGACAGGAGAAGGTTCAGATCTGTTGTTCATAGGGTTGCTCTGAGTTGTTCTGGATGTGACAGCACCTAACAACATAAACTCAGATAATATTTTTTAGGCGAACGTTTGAATCAGCTTTTTCAGTAGCTTATACAAACTGTCTGACTGTCCTGAGTTTCTGGCACTTTGTTATGTATCATCAAGTGTATCTGACTTTTTCAGGGAGGAGAACTGGGACTAAGAGTATAGCAAGGTAGACAGGTCTTTAGATGTGAGGACTACTAGGAACTGAATAAAAGTATTAATTAAAAATCACTGTTTTGATATTTAGAAGATTCTATTTCTAAAGGCATTTTTTATATCCCTGTGGTTTGATACCATTCAGTGACCTCTCACTCATAGCGACCCTCTGTATGAACGAAATCCTACCCAGTACTGTGCTACCCTCACACTCTCTGCAGTCCATTACTGCAAACATTTTTCAATCCATCTTCTTGAAGATCATCCTTTCTCTGATTCTTAAATTTTCCAACATGATGTCCTTCTCCAGGGATTAGCCACTCCTCACAATCCAAACAACGTCTGACAAAGTCTCACTCACCAGCCCCCCCCCCCTGTCTCACTGTGGCCGCACTTCTTA